CTCTACCCACTATCCCCTGCAGGCAGGAGCGCACTGAGGGGGGGCTAAGGGAACCACTCCTGGGGCAGGCTGGGACCTGCTACCCACAATCCCCTGCAGGCAGGGAGCGCACTGGGGGGGGGCTAAGGGAGCCGCTCCCGGGGCAGGCGGGGACCCACTGGAGGCAGGAGGGCACTGAGGGGGGGCTAAGGGAACCACTCCTGGGGCAGGCTGGGACCTGCTACCCACAATCCCCTGCAGGCAGGGAGCGCACTGGGGGGGGGCTAAGGGAGCCGCTCCCGGGGCAGGCTGGGACCCACTACCCGCAATCCCCCGGGGCTCACCTGACTGGCCCGAAGTTGAAGGCGATGAAGAGCAGCACGACCATGACGCAAACGACTTTCCGATTCCCAGGGCTGAACTTCAGCTCCTTGTTCTGGAAGGGGGAGGGGGGAAAAAGAGTTTCATAATGGTATAATCCCTACTAGCCCCCCCACCCCAGTATGAGACTGGCACAATCCATCCATCCATGAGGGAATGTCCTATCAACTTCTCCACTCCCCCCCAGAATATCCTAATGGTACGTCTTAGCTAGAACTTCTCCCCCCATGAATGGTATGTCCCACTGATTCACTGCTCCTATGGCTCTCATAAAGGCACATCCTACCGGAAAAGAAGGAAATAAAATAGTCCTGCTGCCCCCACCATCACAATCATAATGGAATACTCCACTGAAAGTTTGATGCCTCCCTTACCCTAGGAGTACTAATGGAATATCCCAATTGGAAAATGAGCTCCCTCCTTTCATAAGGCACATAATGGTACTTCCCAAAATGTACTAAAATCCTCTTTCCCCCCAGAGATCATAATGGAGTCTTCTAGGAGATACTACTCATAGAATTCCCCAGAAAATAACTTACCCCCCTCACAGAATGAGCCCAATGGAACATCCCAACAGGCAACTTCCCAATCCCTGTCCCTGAGGGACAAGTGCTCCCCTCCCTTTCCAATCACAATGGAATGTCCCACAAGGAGGCAGCATTTTCCTCTTCCCCTCCACATGTAATAGACAATATGAACATTCCCCCTCCCAAAGGGATCATAATGGAACATCTCTAAAGAAAGCATCTACCATGATCACTGAGGAGGGGAAAACAGGATCTGGGACAAACCATTACGAATCCTACATGGGAAAGGAGGAGGAAACACCATGTTATGGTCCCTACATGGGGGGAGTTCTAATGATTATTAAGCTATACCACTATGACAACCCTATGGGGGGGGGGAAACAGGCATCATGGGATGTACCATCACGATCACTACATGGAGGGGGCAGCTGACTATTGAGAAGTACCATTCTGATGAGGCAAAGGAAACAGGGTGGCTGCAAGAATGTTCCATGTTGCAATGGGGGAGCACCAGGATATGGAATATACCATTATGAAAATGCATGAGAGGTGCTGCTTGGAGCTAAGACTAGGGAAGAAAAGTGAAAGCTGATTAATAGGACGTACCAATATGTGACCTACAAGGGTCAGATATTTCCTGAGGAGCAATATCATTATGTAAAAGGAAACAGGGTGGCTGCAAGAATGTTCCATGTTGCAATGGGGGAGCACCAGGATATGGAATATACCATTATGAAAATGCATGAGAGGTGCTGCTTGGAGCTAAGACTAGGGAAGAAAAGTGAAAGCTGATTAATAGGACGTACCAATATGTGACCTACAAGGGTCAGATATTTCCTGAGGAGCAATATCATTATGTAACACATCGGGGATGAGGGTGCAGGGGTTTGGGTTGTGACCTTGGCAAGAGGGAATTGTGACCTGGGGAAGGAGACTAGGATGAGGAGGGAATGGAGGGATTTTGACTGTGACATAGGGCAGGAGGGAGTTGTGACTTGGGGAAAAGGCTGGGGTGCAGTGGTTTGGGTTGTGACCTAGGGCAGGGGATTCAGATGCATTATCTGGGAGGGGACTGGGGTTCAGGAGGGGGGCAAGGGATTTTGGTTGTAACATGGGGCAAGGGTTTGGCGTGCAGGATCTGGGAGAGGATAAGGGGGCAGAGAGTTAGGGTTGTGACCTATCAGAGGCAGCAAGGTGGGGAGCAGAAGACTGTACAGGGGGGAGCCAGCTTAACAGACAGTTCCACCACCAA